CCAGTAACTGCTATGAGCTTCCTATCTGCTTTCTGAGAAGCTGAACATAATCTCTAAGATTATCTCTCAAGGGTGTAGTAAGACAGTAAAATACACAAGTAAATCACTGTCGTCTGAACTCTTACCAAGCTTCAGCTACTGTAATGTTTAATGTTTTTTCCAAGTTACAATCCATGTTTTAAATGATAGTTCAACTTAATTTTTTGCTCATACTTGCAGTATTTAGCTTTGCCATAGTTTTACTATAAGGTGTAGCACCTATTCATAGACTTGCAAAACAAAGAGAAGGCTCCCCCGTGTCTTGCTACTGAAAGACCTATCAGGGTCGAATCCGCAGGGCTCACTGTAGATTTTTATGAGAGAGTGAATGACAGGATATGGGATACCAGAGGAGTATCACCAGGGAGCAGTGACCTACCTACAAAAACTGCCATAGGCTGATCCTACATAAATTGTAAAACAGTGATTTTTGGGACAGTATCTATTTTGATAATTTGAAGTTACTCAATACAAGGAATATTTAGCTTTTTCCTACTCTTATTTTATAGGAGTAGTATTACCAGAGGCAAAATTTGTGCCTCTGGTTGAACTATTATTCATGTGTTTTTAATACTGACAGGTTTTGGTTATATAAAAAGGATGTGTGAGGCAGATCCATTGTACTGTGTGAAGCTATGCCAGCTTATCACATCCAGCCTATAATGTCTTTTAAGACAGTCTCTGTGTACTCCAGAGGCACTCTTGTAATAAAAATTATGAATTAGCTCTAGCATGTTTATATCAACATCAGTGCTGGCCTCTTGATTTGTACAAACAGTGTAGTTTTTGTGCCCTTTCCACCAGCTGATTTAAGTAATAACAATAAAAATGCCTATTAAAAAGTTGTAGGTGCTGTGACACTTAATTTTACAACAACCTCATGCCAGCAGCACTAAAAAACCCCAAACCTCAACAAACCACATTCAACAGAAACAAATTAACTTCAAAAAATTCAGCCAGTTGGTAAATAGGCTACAAAATTGTTCCTGTTCACCTTAGGTGTGGGAACAGGCCTTCAACCACTACACAAATGCTGGCAATTCCAAGAGAATTAATTGAAATGACTCAGTGTTACCAGCTCTTCAGAGAAATTTTGAAAATGCAGAGGTGAAATCTTGATGTGAGTTTTTTTTACTTAAACTGAATTTATGTGTTGAATGGGTTGAGTAAATCACTGCACCTAATTTGTTTCTGAATAGCAGTGATCTTCTGTGGAAAGATGTGTTACTCCTGCGTCTGTTATGAGCATGACTGATGGCCTCAACACTCGCTTCCCTGATTTCTGAGCCTCTCAAGCCTCCTGTTGCTGTATAATGTGCATGGATGGCATACACTAAATTTGAGACTGTCAGCCCCCCAGGTGGCCATGCTATCCCCAATCTTTTATCAATGATTTATGTATAAACTATTCAGGATACCTATGCTGGTTAAAGATAAGAAAGCTCCTGAAGTTTGTTTTCTTTCTAAGGATATGTCTGGCTTTGAATGTTTGATCCAGCTGATGAACATATGAAAGTGTTTATGCCAAGTTTGTACTGGGATTGCTATTGAGGAGTAAATCATATCATAAGCCTGTAAACGAAACTAACAATTTTTAAAAATATTCTAAACAGAGGCTACATCAAGCAAAAAAATATTTTCCACCACTTCATAAAACAAATAGTGTGCAAGTGTCTCTTGGAATTGGAGGCAGATCTTTGGCTATTGGTTGTGTGGTTTTGAATATGGTGCAGCTATGATCAACATGGAACAGCATCTCAGCAGGTACTTTGAATTGGTCTTTGCTAATGTTATACATGTCATCTGTGAAGCAAGTTTCACATCAGTTTTTTTCGCTGCTCAGTACACTGTCTTTAAAATTCTTTTATATTCTCCTTTCTAGATTACTATAACATTTAGGCTTTTCTACTCCAGTACATAATGCGGCCCTCCTCAGTTGCTGTTTCATTTACAGAATACCAGCACATGGTTTTTCAACCATAGAAGTAATGTGTGACAGCTTAAAAATTCTGACATTGCTTTTGAGTTGAACTAGTCTTGCTATCAATTGAACCATGATGTCCTGAAGTGGAAATAACCTTGTTTTGTTGAGAGACTTTATTTTTAAACAGGTTCTTCTATATAAAGATAATTCTTTTTGAAACTTCTTGCATTAGACAAGAGTAAGATGAATGGTATTCAACATTATGCTTTTTCTAAATGTAGAGCGTTAAAGACACTTAAAAATAAGATTAAAAAAATGTCTCTTTCTCAAAGACATTTGAATTGTTTATGTGGGAGTTACATTTTTGCCTTTCTTCCACATCCCATTATTCTTCCTGTCCTCCCCAATCAAGTGTTAATGAGGAATTCAGTTTTTTTTTAAAAAAAAAAAAAAGGCAATGAGGATAAACAGACCTCACAGGCTCCTTATTCAGCTCAGCAGGGCACTAGACCTTAGCTATTCTTCATTTCACAGTGAAGATGATCAGTTCTGGGTGACCACTTTCAAAGGGCACAGAGTTTTTGAAGGTGCTCTGCAGGATGATAAATTGTCATGTCTGTCACCCTGTGTCTTGCGGAAATGCAGCAGGGGTCTCTTCTGCAGGAACTTGTAAAGAAAAAGATAGACTGTGACACTTGGCCGGTTGGATGCTGCCTGTTTATGTGGAATATGTTCAAGGGTCTGCTAAATAGTACCCGAATTCAAGTTTTTTCTAAGAATGGATGGGAGAGTTGATCATTATAACAACCTCCAAAGCATAATCCTAATGAGATCTTAAAGATGTCTTGATGGCCTCTTTTTTAAGTTTTGGCTTTGTTTTTGAATATATATATATGTATTCCTACCACAGGTTAAGAAGCCTGGGAAGGTATATATTTCTGCTTTTCTGAGATGCATGCTGTAATTAGCCTCAATTGATTTTGGTGTATTCAAATCACTTGGTACTTTTGAAGTGCAGTTATCTTTTTGGTTGGGCTCAGTGTTTTTAAATGCATCTCCCCTTCACATGTGGTTTTTTTTTTTAATTACAAATTTTTAAGGAACTTCAATGATTTACGTATAATATCTTCCTATCTTTCTGAATTTTCAATATTAAAATACCATATTTTCTTTTATCACATGCTTAAGGTTATTCCGTGTGTTTGTGTCCATCTCCTCCTTTTCTCTGATTGTAATTCGTTGGCTAGGAACAACCGACGTCATCTGTTGTTAAACTGATATTGTAAACGGAAAAAAAAACTTCAAAGCAAATTAGAATTTTACTCTAGTTTAAACAAACCTCATTTTTTGACATTTTGTTATTTATATTGTCTATTTGTGATGTGAAAGTCTACTTAAAAAACAGGAATGGGCTCCCTTTGCCTATTCTACCATTAGTGTTAAACACATCAAAGAAATACTTTAACCCAAATTTAAGAGCCTCTTTTTCTTTACACCTGTATTTAGATTTTGGTAAAACAGTCTTTTAAAAATAAACATACATAGAGATGTAAATTCTACCTAGCGATACCTCATTTAAAGCTGATGTTGGTAATTATAGCACAAAAAGATTGTCTATTCCAAAATAAATATGAAAAGATTTTACAAAATCCATTATTATGAAATTACTATGCTGTCTTTACAGAAACATCAAATCAAGTTGTTAAGGTTGTATTGCTGGTGCAGAGACTGCAGAGGGAGCTAACGATCTGATGTAAACAAAATCCTATTTGTGATGAAGAAATGTCAGGGATTTGCGTTCCTGTTTATTTCATGAGAGAGGCCATGTCAAATCTTGGCTAAAATGAGAAAGAGGAGAGCTTATTTTGAGAAGGGATAATATTATTGTATTTTAGGGCAAGGAAAAAAAGAAATAAACAAGATCACAGTTATATAGCATCTGTCCAGACCTTCTGAAAATCTTACTAGAAAGAAATAGGTTCATGACAATAGAAGAGGAAAATGTCCTAACATCTACATCAGTACTGGGGTGAAGTTTAGCTGAACCCAGAAGAGCTTGTATGTACTAGTAGCAAGTGTTACCACCTTGCAAATCATCATTGTATGGAAGGGATTTGTTGCAAATGCCATCACAAGGGAGTACGCTGCAGAGCAGCAGTGCAGCCATCCTGGTGATTTGCACTCCTAACCACCTGTGGGTACCCCATGCCATCTCCACTTACAGAAAGCTCAAGGCCCCTTTCTAACTCATTTCTCTCTAGTAATTTTTCTCTTGGATCAAGGCCAGCATATCACTAAGAGAACTGAGAGAAGCAGCAAACTGCTATATGGGTACCCAAAGACATGGCCAGAGAAAGGGAAATAGGGAGACCCTTCAAGCTAGGAACAGTGACCCTCAAGGAATGCCAGAACCAGCTTTCAAACAAACATGTGGCAGTGGAAGCTGTGAGTCAAAGGCATTATTAACAATCACTGTTGTTTCACAGTATATCTCCTCTCGGAACCTGGAACCAAAACATTTCCATTTCTTTGCTGGGTCCTGTCTTCCTGCCTTTGCTTTGATTGCCCTGCTTCATTACAGCCTGCTTATCCAGAAATAAATGTTGGTTTCTGTAGACCTCATGCTGTTTGTTTTAACAAATCTTTATTATAGACTGAAAGCACTTTCAATATGCTGAATAATACTATTAAATCTAGCTCTGTAGCTGTGAAGGTGTGATTTTGTTACAGATAGAAATGTGATATTTATCCTACTCCCACTGATTTCTGTTACAAACTTCCGTTTCAGGCTATCGGAAGCAAGACTGGGAGATACGTGACTGATTCTAGTGCAGTCTGGGCAGAGATTCAGGGAAATTCGCAGAGCTGGAGAAAAGACAGGTTTCCAGGCATCCAGCCCATTCATCAGTCTGCTGATTGTAGCAGACAAGTTTTGAACCAAACTTGCAGGAGAATAAAGTTATCTCACTATCTGTTGAAGTCTGAAAATCCTTATTTTTTTTCTTGGGTCTAATTATTCCTTTTTCTCTTTGTGCAGATCCTAGAAGAAAGTATCATGTAAGGCTGCTGGCATATAACAGTATGGAAGAAGGTTATCAAGCAGACCAAACAGTCAGCACTCCAGGATGTGTCTGTAAGTGTTGTAGGTGCATGAAGAATTTAAGAGCTGAGCTGTTTCAAGGTCCCGGCAGCTCTGTGTTTTTAACCTATAAATCATCAATTAATTCAATGTAAAACAGAGAACCAGAAAGATCGTATCTGTTACAAATACTATCCCAGTCATCCTGCAACTGAGACAGTCTCCTGTGTTCATGAACTGCAGCTGAGGAAACAAGATAGCTACCAAGCACATTTTCCTCCCCTATTGGATTGTCTGCATCATCTAACCAGTGACGTATCATGTACCTTATGAGGGATTTATCTCTCTCTTGTCTCTGTTTATAGTTTTGACTTTGTTTTTGACTAAACAAGTGGGACTACAGAAGTAATATGTGACATGTATTGAGTTAGGAGTGATCCTTAATAGCTTGAACTGGATTCCTGGGTCTGAACACCAGGTAGTGCTGGGTAGGGGCAGATTTGAATCTAAACCTGTGGGCTCAGACCTATCTCTTAATCTTACCAGTATCTGTATACCGTTAAATAATTCATGTTCCTTTTTTGTTTTAAACAGCGGTCCGTGATCGCATGGTGCCACCGCCACCACCTCCTCACCACCTCTATGCCAAAGCTAACACTTCATCTTCTATCTACCTTCACTGGGGAAAGCCTGCCTTTACATCTGCGCAAGTCATTAACTACACAATCCGCTGCAACCCAGTGGGGCTGCAGAATGCTTCTCTGGTTCTCTACCTTCAAACGTAAGTGCTACTAATGAGTGTTGGTTTCCCATTTCCAAATCCTTCCCACTCAGTTTCTACTTTTCTTGCCCTCTCTTAATTGCCTTTTACTGTAACAACTTTTATCTGCCTTAGAGGACTGTGTGTTTTGCCCAGTGGCTGCTAGTTCTGTTTCTTGGGTTATTTAAGATGTGTCTGTAGAACAGCTTTAATTCTCTACCTGTGATCCTTGTGTTGGATTCCTGGATGAGCTCTTGAATTTTTAATGGCTTTTTAGCTGTCTAAGTTGAATTTAATTTTAAGCTCTTCTTCAACCAAACAAAAGAGAATACCTATTTTACAGGTAGCTTGTCTGGGTAAAGATGGGACTTAGTCCAGTGTCTGATTTTAAGACTGGAAACAAGAATTTTTGAGTTTTGAGGGGTTGAGCGTGTTATTGTAGGAATGCCACATTCCTGAGTGTGTGGCACCCTGCCAGGAGAAAGCTGAGTAGGAACTACAGCTTGCTTTTCAGAGAAGCAATGCATGAACCACAGAATGGCAGAACAGGGAAGAAATTCTGCCTAGACTTGGTGTTCAGCTCTGCCCTGGTGGTATGGGAGCAGAAGACTTTGCTCCATTGTGACTGCCTGTGCTGGGGGCCGTGGTGCTGTTGAGGGAATCCTTATGTGTGTAGCTCCCTCAATACTTTGGTTTACTCAAGCCTTCTAAATAAGAAAAATGCTGTCTTAAAAGATACTTTCCATCCTAATATTGATGGTTTTCTCTTCAAAGAGCATATCCCCTGCTGTATAACTCCTGACTTAACGATTAGACACAGTATAATCACCATGTAAAATTCTTAGTGTGCCATATGGAGCATAGCAATGAATGCTGCTTTTTGTGATAGGATGAGACTATTGCAAATATTGGTGACTGCCTTTGCAGTATGGAAGATGAAAATCCTAAATGAGATTGAATAAAGCAGTATCTGTAGAGTAACATCATTTTAAACTGAGATTTAATCTTGACTTGGGTATTATCACCCGGGATTAACCCTGGTGTATATGAAAGATTTCCCCCTGCCCCCAGAATCAAAATAAAGCAGAATGTCTACAATTGGCTGTGTGATCAAATAATAAACTGCAATATTGCTATTAATATAATCAATTTTACAAATAATAAATTACCAAATATGACTACAAGGTGAGTAGGGAACATTCATATTCTACAGAGATCCCCTAAACATGAGGTGATAGAGGCCATAAGTGGAAGGGGAAGTTGCACACATAGCCTATGTCTGTTCTGTGAATTGAGAAGCAGATCCAGGAGTAGCTGATGGAGCCAACAGCATGTGCCTTTTCAGCTGTGATGCTGGTTGTAGTTTAAGTGTTACTCCAGCTTGAAGCACAGTGTCCTATGGACAGATGTGGAAAGAGCTGAGTTTGGGATACCTACTGGTGATCTGGGCAATATTCTTGGACTTGCTTGTGCATTGGCTGTCCAAACAACCCTTACAAAAGCTTGAGCTCAAGTGAACTGACAGCAGACATAATATCCTCCAGAGAGCTCCAGGGTTAGTACAATTACATTTTCAGGTATACAGTGCGGATGGACCATGTGTCTGGACTTGAACTGGTTTGTCTTCTGTTGAACTGACAGTGAGAATCTACTCACAGTGACTAAGAGATACCATTTGAGTTTGGGATCTTCAAGTCAACTGCTGCTGTTAAATTTATTTTGTTCCTTCATCTGTACAGGTCAGAGACTCACATGTTAGTTCAAGGTCTTGAGCCAAAAACCATGTATGAATTTGCAGTTCGGCTGCATGTGGACCAGCTCTCCAGTCCCTGGAGTCCGGTAGTCTACCATACTACCCTTCCAGAAGGTAAGGCACTAGGAGAGGACCACATGGTTCTAAAAAGAAAGCTCTGTAAACCAAAATTGTTTATTAATTTTAAGCTGTTTGTAGGAGACAGAAATACTTTGAGATAAAGATATTGCTCTTCTCGGTGAGAAGATTGAAAAATGCTGTCATGAAAATCCTTGTTTTGGAACTGTGAAATTCTTTTTCAAAATCTACCTAAAATCAGCAACGATTTCTATATAAAATGTGATATACTTACACCATTAGCAACCACTGAATGGAATAACTTGAATAAAAAATTTAAAATATATATTGAAGAGGCACAGCTGATTCATAGGCATTATGAAAATATATTTTAAAACCCAGAAATTTTAGAAACTGTAAGAATATTACACATCTACTGCTCTAGCTGCTGGTTTGCTTTTCTGTCAGCTGGGTCAGTGAAAATCAAAACTTCAGTTTCATGTTCTCAGCATTGCAATGTTTGAGATGTAGCTGTTCATAGGGTAATGATGTGGGTTTTTGTCAGTAACTGTTTCCTTCTGGAGTTGAAGGAAAAATACGAAATTTGCTTTCACAAAATCTAAGCTATTGACCAGATCAGAGTTAACAGGAAAGTTTCTCTTGAGGAGCAGTATGTGTTTGTTTATATGTTGTTTATCTGGGATGTAGCAGTAGCCATTAGATCTGCACATCAGTTTCTTTCTGAGCAATTTAATTGCATGTAAATTAGGTTAGCCTAATAGCATTGTGTTACTGTTCTCACAGCACCATCTGGCCCTCCAGTAGGAGTGAAGGTGACTTTGATAGAGGATGATACTGCTTTGGTTTCCTGGAAGCCACCTGATGGTCCTGAAACAGTTGTTACACGATACACTATCCTCTATGCATCCAGGAAGTCTTGGATTGCTGGGGAATGGCAAGTGTTGCACAGAGAAGGTAAACTAAAATCATAAACCTATGAACTGGATAAACAATGACGCTACTTATAAGATGCTTTCTTACTTTCAGCTCCCGTGGACTACAGTAAGAAAGAAATTCATATAAATGCTCACATAAAAGTTACAATTAGTTTAGAATTATTCCCATCGTTGTGACGAAAATGTATTAAAAACCAGTTAATACTCAGAAGGTGAGGGGAGAGGGGCTGTTTCTGTTGCTTTGGAGCTCAGTGTGTACATGTGAACCAAAATGTCTCATAAATCCAATTACATCCATCTTAGTTCTATTGTAACCATGATTGTGATGGTTTCATTTTGTGAATGCACTCTTTCAAATCTGAAGTCTCTGACATGCCTTGCTCTCCAGAAATAAATTTATAAATGTGGCTGTGTGGGTTTGTATGTTTCTTTCGATCACTGCCAATCCAGTTAGCTCAGTTTGTGTAATGAACTTTCCCCTACTCCCAGTAAATTGCTCTGCAAATTCAATTTAACTCTCTAGCTCTATTCCACTGCTGAGCCCCAGCTAGCTAATCTAACAGTAACTCAGGTATGGTGATATGAACTGCAGTCACATCTTTGTGATTAGATGTAGATATAGTCTAAATTTTTATAGGCACTTTCCAGAATAATACTATGATTTCAAGAGCTGCATCAAGAAGAGATTTCTGCTATAGCAAGAAAAAAAGAAAAAGTCATTTACTGTTCCGTTGGTTTTCAAAATAGACAGAGACAGTTCAGAATAGATAATGCTCTAATAATGTATTAAACCAGAGAGGGACACTCAGTATTACAAAGTAAAGTCATGTGCTTGAGTAGCTTATTTAAGAGGATTGCCCAGGAAGAGTTAGTATTTTGTTGTTCTGTGTTGTTTCATGGCTGAAAGCTTAGTTGTCGGCAGAGAGTGAGGCTTTAAATTTTCTGTGGAGAAAATTCATAAAACTTAATGAGTATGCACTCACAGAGGACAATTCATTTCGCCATTAGTGAGAGTGAACTGTTTTAGTTCAAAGATGGTGGTTGTCCTTTGTGCTGCTCCTGAAGAGAGGACGAAAGACCAACAGCCATTTTGAAAGGTGGCAGTGCCACTTTGTCTTTGCTGGAGCAGAATGGTATTTGTCGGACTGGCCTCAAATAGAATGGTCAGCTATGAAGAATAACAGTAAAATGACTATTAATCTTAAGCAAAATTTGTGAAAAATAACTAGTCTCTGAAATATCAATGAGGTCTAACTATAGGGGGAAGATTGAGCCCATGGGTTTTTCACTATTAAAATTGTCCAAAGAAACAGTGATATAAAGTTGTCCCATTAAATTGTTGAAAGAAACAGTGATGTAAAGTTGCCATATTAAAGGACCAATTTAATATTAATTTTTACTCACTAAAAAACCCAGCAGATTTAAATTCACAGAGAGCTTATATTTGAAGAATAAATTTTGTAATTCTGGTGGTGATATGCTGCATTTGTTGGACTTGATGATCCTAGAGGTCTTTTCCAACCTTAATGATTCTATGATTCTATGATTTGTTGTATGCAGCAAAGTGGCTGAATTGCTTTCAGCCAGCCATGGCTGTGAAACTGAACAGCATCTCAAACAGTACTTTACCATAGATATTTCGGATGAGGGGATGGCAATAACAGTAAACATTTTGATGTGTTCCGATACTGAAAGTGATGGAGGGAATGAGCAAATGGAGAGCTATAAATCTCAGTGTATTACTATCTTCATCAATGTTAGAGTCACTAATTTTTTATTTTGATAGATATATTAGGGTTTGAGGCATGGCATGGAATTCGGGCATCTTGACACATTAGGACAATCTGTAATGCTCTTAGTTAAAGTACAGATGAAAAAAAGTCTGTGGAAGAAAATTAGTATGTAGAGGTAAAATTGGGCAAATACTGTGATAGTCCTGTGGCAGTCCTTTCATAGGTGATTTGAGGTAGAAGCAGGGTTTGGGTTTTTTAACCCTGATAAGATCAGCTAACCCTATGCAATAAATAGCATTGTTTTGTCTTGACACTAAACTTGTTCTGCAGAAGGTTTGTAAAATCTTAACCCTATTCCTTTCCCATACCTCCAAAGACGGTCCCCCAAATAAAAAAATTAAAAACCCCACCAAACCAAAACAAAAAACCACAAACCAACTCTACCACCTATAAAAGTCCTAGCGTGAGCTTTAGTTTATGCATGAAAATTTCTACCAATCCACCAACTTAAAAACCAAAACCCTCTAATCTGACTGAGCTTGTGTTAGGCTGAATTGGAAAATATAATTGCAGTTTGTTGCTGATTCGTGATGTGAGTTATCTTCCAGCCACCTCCCCCCTTTTCCCCAGTTCTCTTCAAGTGGATCAGAAGTTACAGCCTTTACACACTTGGTGTGCAGTAAATCAGTACAAAGTGCTTACTTGCTTTAGCAATGCAGCAGATTTGAAAGGAGCTGGTGGGAAAGAGCCTGTAATATTGAAACATGACCTTTCACCCTTGCTGGTGCTAAATATTACAGCTCCTTTGGTTACAGATACCTCACATTTTACTTCAAATGCTTTCAGCTAATGGGTGTTTTTTATGGAAGAGCTGAAATAGCTTTTGAAGTAGCTTCTCTTTTGCCAAATGTATAATCTTTTCTGTCAACAAAACAACCTTATATTTTATACGCTTCCCATGATACTATAAATTCTGACTTCTGAAACTGATTTGAAAGGTTGAAATTTAGACTTAAGTCTGAGAAAGTGAATGGAATATGTGAAAGAGAACAAGGGATAGATTTGGTCCTGTAACTGCCACTATTTACGGAAAGAAAAGCAATATATTTCTATGGTAGGAAGAAACACAGGCATTTTAGAAAGGAATTGGAATTTTAAGCAGCACTCTGCAGTCCCTGGACAGGCAAAGCTCTCATTGACTTTGATAAGAGTTTTGCCTGTCTAAGGACAATGCAAGTGAATCCTATTTATGTTCTTAATCTGTTTTCCCTGCCTTCAGGGACTTTAGGAAATGAATCCTTAGCATGTGAGAGAGACACTTTCTGTAATATTTTTAGTAGCACAGCTTAGATGCACAGTAATCAAGGAAGCCTACGCAGGTCTAAATAGGATTCAATTTTATTTTAAAAGCGTGGTATAATGTACTTTTCCAAATCTGTCTTGTTCATTTTACCAACTAGACCTCAAATTTGATAAACTGAACCTGAATTATTTTGTTATGACAATTTTCATTCACATTCATGTACAGTGGATCTAGGAGAGGCACATAGATTAGTATACGAGAGAGGTCTAACGTTCTGCTTTCTCTGCCTGGAAGTCTGGCTAATGCTTGGAGCATCTCCTCACAGATGCGATCACAACATAAACGCTATCACACTGAAATGCTGCTAGCGCTACATTTAGGATTAGTATGCTGTGTATCATAGCCAATACCTGACTCTTGGTTTTGAACTATACTGGCACTTCACAGTGTGCTGTGTTCAAGCAGTATGGAGAGAAAGGACAGAAGGGACAAGCAGGCAACCCCAGTGTTCATTCTGTACCCTGCGTATGCAGAACGTATGAAAGTGATCACAGTTCTCAAACAAGATTTGGAGGTGGTATTGGAAAGAAAGTATAGGTCCCAATGTCTAAATCTCAGTCTGTTCCCACAGTTTTTGTCTAACTGGACCTGTTTATCAAATCTTTTCATAGGAGCAATGACCATGGCGCTGCTGGAAAACCTTGTAGCAGGAAATGTCTACTTGGTCAAAATAGCAGCCTCCAATGAAGTGGGAGAAGGACCCTTCTCAAATGTGGTAGAACTTGCTGTCCTGCCAAAGGAGACATCAGAGTCTAATCAGAGACCTAAACGCTTGGATTCGGGAGATTCCACAAGTCAGTAGAAATGTTTTGATTACTGCTGTCACAAGTACCAGGGAAAAAGATTCCTGTTTGTTTTAGCTTGTAACTGCTTTCTGGGTAAACCATTCTGTTTTATGTGAGGCAGTCCTAACAGTGTAGTGTTTTCTTCTAAATGAAACCATTTTGGAATTTTTATCTCAGTCCAACTCAGAATTGTTTTAATTCTTTTGCTCAGAAGGTGGAAGTTTGCCTTTCAGGTGAGAATACATAACTGTTTTGAATTTTACATCAATATCAACTTTGCAGCCACTCTTTTAAGGCACTTCTTTAAGTCCTTTATTTGGCTTGAGATACGAGTAGCACTGGGTCAGTTAGAACCAGACAGCCCAGCAGAGATGAGATGGCATCTCAGATAAATCTGTTGAAATGTGTTGGTTCCTGGTATTCCAGCAACCCAAATCAACCTGTCAGTCAGTGATATACCAGCATATATTTTCACCAAAGTCAGCCCCACCTGCAGCTCTTTGGGGAAAGCTATGTGTTACCTTGTGGAAATTAAGGTAACATCAGTGGTTTCTCCATATAAGAATGGAAGAACACATTATCTTTGTCTGACATAGAAGAGGATTTATCTTGGTGACTTGTTAAAGATTTTGAAGCTATTTGGGGAGACAAGAGCTAGTAATTATTCAGGTACATGAACCTTTTAACCTTTCCTTGTTGCTACACCTTGAATTGTGATTAAAACACGGGGATTTTTCTTGCTCAAGTTTTCTCCCTTCCTGGAATTCAGTTATATTTTAGGCCTGAATAAGCAAATAGAGTCATGCTCTCAGGATTAGGTTAATAGACATATGATGTCAAAGCATAAACCAAAGTGAACCCTCCTAGGTGACAGTGGCTGGAATTCTCTAAGCCTTTTCCCTTTGTGGTCTAGTAGGACCCTGTAAGGAAGGGGTTGGAGAGAGCTCCTCTGCTCCATGTTGTAGGTCACCGAAGAGACTGTGGTGTGGGGCAGTCCCTTCTTCCCCTCCCACACCAGGAGTGCATACACTCCTCTGTTTGGTCTACAAGTTCTATTTTGAAAAGTGTCAAAATGTATGACAGAGAAGGTCTGGAAATCTCATTAAAAGGAAGCATTTGTCTCTGTGATTGTGACTGCAACCCTATTAATTTCCTGACAGAGAGCAGGGGGTAACTCTTCTTATTTACTGAGCCTTCCTATGTTCTTTTTTGCTATAGCATATTCTGACTATTACCATCTGGACCAGAAATCAATGACTGGCATTGTTGTTGGGGTTTGCATAGCCTTGACCTGCATCCTTATCTGCATCCTGATCTTAATTTATCGCAGTAAAGCCAGGTATGTTTTTGTTCTTGAAGACTGAGCTCTTTCTTAATGCACTGATTCTTGGGACGTGCCTTTTTCTCCAAGAGTGCTAAGTTCTCTGAAGTACTTTGTCTCCTCACCTATTCCTACCAGCAGTGGAAACAAAGCACTTTGTTGGCTCTTCCTACTCTACCTGAGTCCCTTCTCCAATGAAAAGAAGGAAGAACCCACAGAGTGAGTCAGTGGTGCTTTGACAACCAAGTACAAGGCATGTGTCCAAATAAATAAAAAAATTTTGAGTCAGATGAGCATGCTGCTTTACATTATCTGTTCCTCCTGTTTAACCCTCCAGCCTGCCCAGACCTGGTTTGCAAGGCTTTAACCCTTTGGTGTTGCTGGACAAGAAGAACTCTGACATAGAGCAGTTCCATGATGCAGTTTCTTCGCAGTGGTGCAAGCCACCGTCTGTCTTGTCATGAGCTGCTATGGGACATAAACTGGCCCAGTGACTCTGCCCATAACTTTGGGATCACAACAAATATAAGTTACTTGAAATAATAAATTAAAGGCTGTCTGAAAGTATATTTTAATAACAAGGGCTTTTTAGCATACATGCAGGAAAAAATATGGATTGGGAGGCAGTCTCTGTGTAGCATGGTAGAAAGGTCTTAATATAATTAGCGGTTACTTCTCCAAGTAATATTACTAATCATGACAATTTCTGTCTGCACATAAACTTATAGCCTAGTGTGTATGATTAACTGGAAGCAGATATTATTTTTATCACAAGCAATAACATTTAAATTCCACGAGCATTAGGAATATTACATAACAAAATATAAATGCCAAGAATATACCAATATTACTTGATTAATAATAGCTTTAAAGTTTATCCTTGATTTTCTGTATTTTCTTCCTGTCAGTCAATTTTATTCCTGCTTAACGTTGTGTAGGAAAGCATCTGCTCCTAAACCTGTGCAGCAAAGCACTGACCAGCTGTCACATACCAGCATCTCATTAGCCAGTACTAATGAGGTGGAGAAGAATATTGAAGGAATTGCAGAGAATGAAGAATCCTTATTGCCAATGATAGTGGGAAACAGCTTCATCGATGCTAAGGTACTGTGAGCTTTACTCACTCCCAAAACAGAAACCTTTACATTTCATTGCTATAACACCTGAGTCCTTATCAGAAGTAAAATATGTACACTACAAATCCACAGCAGGTTTTTTTTAATGGGACAAGCACAAGTTTGGCAATCCAGGGTCAAATTTTCAAGACTCATCTTAAAGATCAGCTAGAGATCTGATTCAGTACACTTGTCTTACACTGTACTCTGCAGATTGCAGAGTTTGCCTCTGGCACAGCATCAAAGGATAAAAGCTCTATAGGTGGCCTCTGCTAGTCCAAGGTGAGAGAGTCCTCGTCAGCATCTGGCTCAGTAAGTGCCTGTGCACGATCTAGTCAAGTATGACACTAAGCAGGTATTAAAGAAAATATTATTTTTCTGTATGTTTACTGGTAAGACAATGTTACATTTTATAAACTCATATTTGCTCAAATTGTAAATTAATCTAGATGGCAGGATGCATCAGTGGATGTGTGGAATTCTACAGTCCAGGAGTCCAGTGTGACAAAAACACATTGGCCTTACTTTCACATGCAGGCATACTGATTTAAGGCTTGTTCTGTACACACTGCAAACTTGAATGGAGCTGCTCCCTGAGGATAGATGCAAGATCTGGGAAATGGCAATGGACCCCAGTACAGGCACAGACACTATGTCTATGAATGGTCGCGTTCAAAGTAGTAGAGCAAGAGCAGTGGCTGGAATATTTTGCTGTGTGTTTGCAGTATTATAGCTGTTGGGTCTGGCCTGTGGGCTTGCCAGATTTAGTGGATCTCGTTTTGACTTGTCTCGAGCAGTAGATAAATACCAGACCAAAAAAACGTGACTGAGCACTAAGACTTCATTTGTCTTCCTTTTCAGTATGGAGCCAATAGGTAGGAATAGAAAAATATTTTCAAATATCTTAGAAATTTAGTTTGTTAAAATAAATGTCTGTGTGTCTCCCTCTGTTGTAGGGGGGATCTGATCTGATTATTAACAGCTATGGGCCTGTCACAAAGGCTAACTGCAAGAAAAAGTGGCTGTTCTTCCAAGATACTAAGAAGGTGAAGACTGAGGAGGTAATTGGTCTAATAGGCAGAGATGTGCAATCTTTACTGTAATACCCTGTTTTTGCAAAGGAAGACACGTAGTTTTCTATTTATGGAAAAGTATAGTTAGTGGTCTAAGTTTTAATTGGATAGTTTCAATTAAGGTTGATGCTGTTCTACCTTGTAGTAAAGTCTTATGGAAGTTTCATTTTCTGTCCCAAGTTGTCAGATATTGTAACTCTTTACAGTTAACTGATTGCTTTCTTGCCCGTGCCCCTTTATCTGTGAGCAAAAGGATTTCTGTGTACTGGGTATAGCATCTACAGTACTACATCTGCAGAGACTTTGTAGAAATATAAATACAAATTAAATATGTATTTATAAATAAAAATAATATAAAAATATAAAGAATCT